CTGGAATGAAAATCTATTTCATGTCCCATCATTCTGGGAAAGTTGGTTAGAAGCACAAAAAGTTATTCTCTGCTTTATGATTTCCTACCAACTTTAATGAGCCCCTTGAGGGTAAATATTACCAACCCTGTATTTACAACCTGTGTCACGGATCCAACATTGGCTCCTTTGGGACTCAGTGTTCCACTCAGTTTATAATTTGACATCAGGAAGCCCTGATCCCCAATGCAGAAGGGTGAGCACCTCACTTTGTCATCATCCCCTGGAGTCTGTGCAAAATTCTACAGGGGAAATATCCGGGGCAGAGTCAGTTGCCGTTTCTGCTACCTTCCCACAAGACCCTGGGATTGCGTTAGCAAAATACTGGATCATAGCTTTAACGCTATACATGCTTGTGGATTCCACCTCAATAGAGTTGTAGCAAAATGGTTGAGGAAATGGGAGCGGGCCCTCAAGTCAGGCTGATTTAAATCCAGACTTGTTAACTTCCTCTGAGACCTCAGACAAGTGATAGAACTGATTTGCCCCTTGTATATGTATTTGTATCTATATAACCTATGCATATCTATAAGCTAAGGCTAATTTAAAAACTATCTCATAACATTATTGTGGGAATTACGTAAGTTAATTTACATAAAGTGTTAGAAATGTGCCTCACACATCAAAAGAACCTGATAGGTGTTGGCACCCCCACCCGTGTTATTCATTCATAGGTATATAAATCAGGATTTCTTGATCTTGGTACTTTTTACATTTGAGTAAGTTTTGGTTATGGGGCTGTCCTGTGTAGCACAGCACAAACAACATCCCTGATCGTACCCATTAGATGCCAGTGATACTCCCCCCCCACCACACAGACACACTAAGAATTAAATCAGAATTTTCTCCATTGTCAGACATCCCCTGGGGAGCAACACTGCCCGTATTTGAGAATCACTGCTGTCTGTATTGCCTGGACTTCTGTTGTAACTGTTTTTTGGAAAGTTATACTTTATGTCTATTTATGTGTCTCAAGTTCAAAGTGCCCCAAATTGAATTCAGTGTTTTCTTAGAATTCCCAGGGCTGCTCCTTTGCAGGTCATCATTTTATAAATTATTTTTGCCACTATCTGGGCACACAATCAACAAAACTAAACTTAAGCTCCTCCTTCTCCCTTACTATCTCTTCCAGTCTCCACGTCCTGGAGAATCCATTCCTTTGAATGATCTGGACTTTCTCTCAGTTCTACGGCTTTCACAGTCTCTCTCCATCTCCAATTTGGATTACTCTAACAGTTTTATAACTTAAGACTCATTAAAGGTGAGAATTTGGACCTTTTCAGGTCTATCACCAGCACTGCAAACACACACACACACACCTCCTCTTCCTGCTCCCCAATATCAATTCCTACCAATAGGGTTATAATCATAAATTCAGTTATAACAATGTTCCTGTATTACCTTGTTAAGCCTATTTTTAAAACACTATTCACAAAAAATTTATCAAATATATAATTGTTTTTCTTTTTTCTTATAATTCCATATATTTTTCCTTATTCCTTTATAGCTTCATATATATGTAAATCTTTTCTCAGTACATGCAGTCATAGAGACTGAATTTCATATTTGTTTCTTTTTGTTTGTTTGTTTGTTTAAGCTGGAGTGCTGTGGTGTGATCTCAGCTCACTACAATCTTTACCTCCCGGGCTCAAGTGATCCTTCTGCCTCAGCCTCCCAAGTAGCTGGCATTACAGGTGTGTGCCACCACACCTGGCTAGTTTTTGTATTTTTAGTAGAGACAGGGTTTCACCATGTTGGCCAGGCTGGTCTTGAACTCCTGGCCTGAAGTGATCCACCCATTTTGGCCTCCCAAAGTGCTGGGATTACAGGTGTGAGCCACCATGCCCAACCCAAAATTTCAGCTTTAATACTGATAAAGTTAACTGGAGGACATAGCTTAAATCAACAACTACACTGGGATAGAACAGCAGGTAAGGGAGTGTTATCCAGTTATTCACTATACTTCAAAGATGTTGCAGCAAATTAAGCACATTGGCAGGTGTTTATTGATTTGCATGTCTTCCTTTAGGACAGGGGTTTCCAGTCTTTTGGCTTCCATGGGGTCACAGTGGAAGAAGAATTATTGAGGCCACACATAAAATACACTAATACTAACACTTTTAATAAGTCACAAAAAAATCTCATAATATTTAAGAAAGTTTACAAATTTCTGTTGGGTTGTATTCAAAGCCACCTTGGGCTGAATGGGGTCCATGGGCTGTGGGTTGGACAAGCTTCTTTAGGTGACATCAGTCAAATCATTTGCCTGTTTATTAAATGTTCTTTTTTGATATATCTTTTAATCAATGAGTTGAGATATCTATCTTTTAATTAATGAGTTGAGATGTGTATTATATATATGTGGACACAATATCTTTATCTAGTATTTAGTTAAAAATATTTTTCCAGCCTATACTTTGCCTATGAGTACTTTCCTGATAAATAGATAATCTCATTTTAATTAAGTTTCTTTGTTTTTTTCCTTTGGAGTTTAGTGCTTTATAGAATATCTTTAAGAAATCTATGACTGTACCAACACAATTTCATGTATTTTTTCCTAGAAGATCCATAATTTAAGCTTTTTTGTATACAATTTTGGTTCATTTTTAGAATGAGTTTTGTGTAGTGTGAGGTAGAGGTCAATGTTCAACGTTTTCCTTATAGATAGGCAGTACGTCCAGCAACAATTGCTTCAAAGCCTTTTCTTTCCCTGTGGGATTACTCTGTTGCTTGGTCTACAATCAATTGACCATATGAGTGAGGCTCTGTTTCTGAATCCTCTATTCTATCCCATGGACTTGTTCACCAGACTTTATAACAAAACTAGTCTGTGTTGATTATCACAGCCTTATACTAATTTGTAAAATCAGGTAATGTAAGTCTTCTTTGTCATTTAGGGTCCCCTAAGAAGGAGATGTCAAGAAATGATTAGACTTGCAACACTTTTTTTTTATAAATGTCTACTAAGGATGAAATTCGAGAAAGCAAGAGTCAGTGATGAAGGCTTTAGACCAGGATGAACGTCACCTATGAAAGGAGAAAGAAATGGAAAGATGAGGTAGGAAAATCTCAAACTATAGAGCAGTTCTAAAAAGTCTTGGTCAGGAGGATAGGGAGTCTCTAAGCAAAGGTTACCTATCAGAAAAGGCCCATGTTAGATGGAAATTGGCCAGCTGTCTTTATGTCCCACCCACCCTGCTGAGTCACTGGCTGAGGGCATCTCAGAATAAGAATGGACTCTGCCTAAACACCATGCTGGATCCAAAGAAGTGCAGCTATGAATTTTCAGGCAGCTGTGCACCCCACTGATGGGTCTCTTAATGGGAAGCTGAGCAGTCCTTCTCTAAGGCTACTACAGTCCACCTCCAAAAATAGAAATTTTAAAAAAGTTGTTCAGGTTTACAACTGTCATTTTTGTACGTTATTAATTATTACTTAAAATAATACATTTATTATTGGTATTAACAAGCAAGGTGCTCCAATTCAGCCAGGCACAGTGGCTCACTCCTGTAATCCCAGCACTTTGGGAGGCCGAAACAGGAAGATTGAGGCCAGGAATTAATTTTTTTCTCCAAATATTTGAAAATTAGGCAGGCATGATGGTGTGTGAATGTAGTCCCAGGTATACAGACAGCTGAAGAAGGCCTCTACCTCCTGCTATACACAACACAAAAGTTAATCTAAAAATGGACCAAAACTATATACACAAAAAAGCTTAAACTATAGGTTGAAGTAGAAGAATCACTTGAGCCCAGGGGTTGGAGGCTGCAATAAACTATGATTTAGCCACTGCACTCCTGCCTGGGTGATGGAGTGAGATCCTGACTCTAAATAATGAATAAATAAATAAAAATAGTACAATTCAACAAGTATTTCTTGATTTTACAATATATTTGACATTCTAAATATATAAACAGGAAAAGCATTAGAAAAAAATCAAGGAATTATGAGACATAACCTTTATATAAAATGTGTTTCATGTCTTATTGGTGAGACAGAGTTTAAGCAGACTCACAAAATATTTGTAGAAACATAGTTTATTAATTTTAATATACATCTTCCCATTATAAACCATATCGAATAAGTAAATCATTGTATACATATTTTTACAAACTTAATGTACAGTATTTACCTAAAAGGAGTAAAAAATGACATTTACAGTAGGAACTACATTATTTTTTTTCAAAATTTTCAAGGCTGTTTTAGATAGTAATGAATGAAAGTTTTATAATGTGAACTATGTTCCCCCTTACTGGAATCCTGAGGTGCACATGTATTATTTCTCTAATCATCCTCTGTTAACGCTGCCTTTGGCAATATAGGTGGAGTTACACATATTCTCTGCTATTTCAAATAGACTGGAACGATAGAGGTTCTCAGAAACAAAGGGCATATGGTACAAATTTTGCCATTCTCAAAGGAGACAAGAAAAGTCAAAATAAGAAAAAGAAAAACGGTGAGAAAATAGAACAAAAGGATAAGATCAAGAAGATCTGATTCTGCTTTAAGCCACCTATCATGTGTAATGCAGACATTTCATCAAATCCTGCTGCCTATATCTGTAACAAAGTTGATAAAATAAGAATGCTTCTGTTATACCTGGCACTTCTGTGTTTAGGTGAGAAAGCTGTGACTTTAACATGTTTACAATTCATGAAATTTACCATTTTTGTCCAATTAAGGATAGCCCAGGAGAGAGGAAGGGGATAAGATGATAATGAAAAATAGCAGTGCATATACTCCTTTTACAAATATGCCATGACCTATTTAGTACAATTGTGAGAAGTGCCAAAGATACAAAAACAAGCAAACAAAAAAGAGACAAGGTGATCTCATAAGGGAAATGAAGAGACAAGTTTCCTAAATCACACATAACACCATCTGTAGAAGCAACAAAACTCTTCATGAAAAACTTAAAACATTGAAGAACTTCAATTGTTTTACATTATTACTGCTTCTAATTAGAATATGTTTCTCTTCTGAATTTTAATTAGCGCTTTCCTTAATGCAACTTTGACATCCTTGTTCCTCAAACTGTAAATGAGGGGATTTAGCATGGGTACCACAGGAGTGTAGAAAACAGAAGAAACTTTTCCCTGCTCCGTAGATCCAGAAGAATATTTAAGATACATGAATGCTGCTGACCCAAAAAAGAGAGAAAGTGCAATGACATGAGAGCTACAAGTACTGAAGGCTTTTGATCTTCCTTGAGAGGATTTGATATGAAGAATGCTAGTGACAATAAAAACATAAGAAATGAGGATGGTGAAACTGGGTACTGTGATATTAATACCCACAACGAGAACAACCACCTCGTTGACATAGGTGCTGGTGCAAGAAAGCTGGAGAAGGGGGATTATGTCACACAAGTAATGGTTGATGATATTAGCACTGCAGAAGGTGAGTCTAAGCATGCACCCGGTATGGGCCGTGGCTCCAGCCAATCCCATTATGTAAGCAGCAAAAGTTAGCATAGAACAGGCCTGATGGGACATGGTGACCTTATAAAGCAATGGGCTACAGATGGCCACATAGCGATCATAGGCCATTGAGGTCAACATGTAGCATTCAGAGATGACAAAAAAGAGAAAGAAAAACAGCTGAGTCATGCACCCAACGTAGGAGATAATATTCTTTTTTGAAACAAAGTTCATTAGCATTTTGGGGGTGAAAACAGAGGAGTAACAGAGATCAATGAAGGAGAGATTGAAGAGGAAATAGTACATGGGGGTGTGGAGGTGAGAATTGAGACCAATAAGAGTGATCAAGCCAAGGTTGCCTACCATGGTGACAATGTAGATCACTAGAAATAGGAAAAAGAAGGGTTGTCGGAACTCCGGACGATCTGTTAATCCAGCAAGAATAAATTCAGTCACTAAGGAGTTGTTTCTAGCCAGCGTTTTCTGTCTTCAAAAATCTGGGAGGACAAAAGAAAATTCCTTTAATAGAGAACACAGCTTTCTTCTTAAAAACCCCCATTCATGAGGAGGGCACTCAGGCTGTAGGAATTAGGTTAAGTTCTTCTTTGTTTCTTGGAGTCTGAATGTACTGCCACACCCTGTCCTCAACATTTCAATGACTGTCTTTTCTCTGCACAGGCTGAATGTGACAAACAGTTGCTCCTGTCCTTACTAGAAGACAGAGGAGTGGAGTAGCTGAGGCACAGGCCTACCTGCTGTTGAGCTTGGTTTGTGGGGCTAAGTCTCATCTCCCTCACCTCCATCTGGCCCTGCACTTCCTAGTTTTTGCTTATTGTTTCCATTATTCTACTAGACACTTCAGTTTCCCTGTGATGACCATCAAGTAAGGGAAGATTTCTTTACAGCACAGACCATACCGATGTTCTGTTTCCTAGACAGGGGTCTCCTATAGGGTTTCCAGATACCTTACCATAAGAATCCATGAAGTCACCAGTTGTTAACAGGAGACCTTTGGTAGTTGAAGCCTCATGATTCACCACATACAACTCACATAAGTGCTTCTACACATTTTCCTCTATCCCATCCTAGCCAGACAGAGGATGAAGAAAGAAATGTGAATGTGTTTTCACAGGTCTTTGCAGGAGGGCATGAGAGAAATATAATTAATTTGGGTGCTAGCTATATTAGTGGTTAAGTTTGCAAAATTTTACCACACTGATATTTTTATGACACTTAAACTCTTCTATATGTATAGCACATGTCAATATATTTTTAATAAAGAGACAAATCTCTCCTTTCCTGACATTGCTCTGTTCTGGATGTGTCACCTGGAACTGCTCTCTCTATCTCATTAACAGGCTAAGAATAAGCCAACAGAGAGAACAATGTGAGAAACACAGGCCACAGAGTCAGAGTGCCATACCACTGAGTTTCTTGCTATTGAATAGGACATTTTTCCCCATTTTTCAGCAACATCCAGGAAAGAAAAATAGAAACTTGAGTAACTCACCTCCCTTCCACTCAGAGAGCTTAGTGCTGACCCTTAATGTGTGTTTCACCTCCACTGCCCTGGAGGAAGAACTGGCAGTGAAAGTGTCTAAGTTGACCAGATATAGTCAGAGTCTTCTTCTCCCTTGACTGGCAAAAGCATTGAGTATAGCTCTCAGACTCTGAATGTTCTAGGAGTCACTTTGAGGTGTAGATCAAACTATTATTTCTAAATTTGACAAGTGCTTGAAGGAAACTAGACTTCACATCAGAGCCACCATGTTATAAAGACATGGCATTTGCTCAAAGCTTATAATTCTTTTGGATCTGATTAGAAATCCAGCAGTATGTTTCTCTCAGGACCTCCCGTAACATGACAAACTCTTCAGGGAAGAAATTATATGCCTGTGTTTACAGTCCAACTTGTTGTAGTAGATGTAAACTTCTCATTAGGGACTGTACAGTCCACAGGGTGTAGGAGAGACAGCCTCTGCTGTCATGTGTAAAGATGTAAATATAATGATTGTCAGAAGTTTTGCTAATTGCAATTCTAGGTAGTATGTTAGTGTTAACAAAAATGTTTGTATAATTTAGTAAAGTTTATTGTGATGCTCATTTTTAATATTGTGGGTCCTTTTAAATAATCCATTTTTACTTTTGTATACTTTATACACATAAAAAAGGGTATTTGAATTGAATTCACATTTGGTAAATAACAATTTTGTTTAATATAGAATTATTTTTTATTTCATAAAATTTATTTACCTTGGGTTGCTCTAACTCGACACGTCTTTGCTTTTAACAGGTTAAAATCAAATCCGTAGAAAAATCAGTATGCCTGAATCATTTCAAGACAGTGTGATTTCAGAATTTTCCTGTACGTAGGAATTTGTGCTCATGAGAAGGTATCTATTTTTTTCCCTTTTTATTTTAAAATTATTAGAATTACAAGAAGTGACAAAAGTCATACGTAGAATCCCTTGAATTCTTCACCCAGTTTCCTCCCATAGAGACATCTTCCGCAATTATAGGACAATAGGAAAATCAGGAAATTGGCATATGTTCAATAATGTCAACTAAACTATAGACCTTATTCAGCAGTTTAACATGCGTGTGTGTGTGTGTGTGTGTGTGTGTGTGTGTGTGTAAATCTATGAAATTCAATCCCATGTACATTTTTTTTCTTTCTTTTAGACAGAGTTTTACTCTGTTTTCCAGGCTGGAGTGCAGTGGTGCAATCACAGCTCACTGCAGCCTCAACTTCCCAGGCTCAATAAATCTTCCCACCTCAGGCTACAGGCACATACTATGACGCCTGGATAGTTTTTGTATTTTTTGTAGAGACAGAATTTCATCTTGTTGCCTAGGCTGGTCTTGAACTCCTGGATCAAACAATCCACCTACCTTGGCACTCCCAAAGTGCTGGGATTTCAGGAGCGAGTCACCACACCCAGCCAAAAATATCCCTCTTAAAAGAGATGTATAAATTTTTACTTATTTTTATTTTTTATTGACAATTATTTTATATATTTATGGGATACAATGTGGTGTTTTGACATATTTATGCGTCGTGGAACTATTAAATTAAGATCATTAACATACCATCAACTCAAATACTGATTTTTTGTAGTGCAAACACTTGAAATCTACTCCCGCTGCAATTTTGAAATATATATTGCATTATTATTAACTACAGTCTCCAGTCAGTGCAGTAGATTTCAAAAACTTATAGCTCCTTTCTAACTAAAACTTTGCACCCTTGTCCAGCATCTCCTGATTCCCCCGACCCCAGCCTCTGGTAACAACCATTTTATTTTATTTATTTTTATTATACTTATTTATTTAAAAAATTTTGAGACCAGGTCTCACTCTTTCACCTTGTTAGAGTACAGTGGCACAAGCTTGGCTTACTGAAGCCTTGACCTCCTGGAGCAACCCTCTCACCTCAGCCTCCTGGCTAGCTGAGACTACAGGTGCATGCCACCATACCCAGCTAATCCTTTTTAACTTTTGTAGAGACAGGGTCTCGTTGTTTTACAGGCTGGTCTAGAACTCCTGGGCTCAAACAATACTCCCATCTTGGCCTCCTAAAATGCTGGGATTATAGGTGTGAGCCATCACACCAGCCTATTTTTAAAATTTTTATCATTTTTATGAGCTAATATTCCAAAAATATATGGTCATAATTATTAATGAAAATTTGGGCTTTCTTTTGGAATATAAATTCCTTATATCAGGCTTTGTGCTAGAAATATCTATTTCCAATGCTTTATTAAGAATTTTTAATGAGTGTATCTCTAATTTCTTTTATAGTCACTGTTTTAGTTCACATTGCCCTATTATAAGAGAATACCTAAAGACTGGGTAAAACAGAATTTTCTTGGCTAATGATTCTGGAGTTTGGGAAGTCCAAGAATGAGGTGCCAGCATCTTGCAAGAGCCTTCTTGCTGTGTTATTACATAGAGGAAAGGCAGAGAGAGAGAGAGAGAGAGAGAGAGAGAGACTAGAGCTGAACTCATCCTTTTGAACCCTCTTGCTATATAGACATTAATCCATTAATCCATGAGGGGAGAACCCTCATGGCCTAATCGCCTCTTACAGGTCTCATTTCTTAATACTGCTACAGTGCCAATTAAATTTCAAGATGCATTTGGGAAGGGACAAACAATCAAAACACAGCAATTATCATCAAGAAGAAATTGTATATGAAAAGTGATGAGTTTTCAGTAATTTGTATCACCATTTAACACGTTGCTATTAAAATCAGATTTTAAAAATATAAGAGCTTTTTTTCTTTCGTTGGCATATTTAATGTTGAATCAGTTTGGAATCAATTTCACTTTTTTTATTTCAAATACTACAAAATAACAAAGAAGCCCTACTTTGCGGAAAGTACGCATTGTTAGAGTAACCACATTGTGACCAGGTTAGATGCCACCAAAAGGCTGCATCAGCTGCTGTAAGAGAATATATGGACAGAAGTATCTGATCGAGGATACTTGTACAGACATATCTGATCTAGGGCTTCACCGCCTGGAGCAGTGGCCATAAGATTTCTGGCCTGCTCTCCAATCACCACAGAAGGCAGCACCTAAGGCCGAGCTCTGTGCTTCTTGAACACACAAAACATAAGCTCCACCAGCAGCCCCACAGGCCTCTTGTTCACAATGGTCTCTGTCCTTTCATCCATGTGACAGCTGTAACTGGTTTCCACATGGTGAAGTGCCTCTGTGGTTGGGCTGTGAAACAGAACAGTGAGTACCTAACTTGGCCAACTGTTCTTGCAGCTGGGAAAAGCATACCATCAGACATTCTCCACTCTTGCCTCCTGAGAGCATCCTTTTAGGCTCTGTAGGCTCTATGCCTTTCACATGTGTTCTTACAGGGCTTCTATATGAATAAAACTTTTTTCCAATTAAAATTGTATTTATAAAGCCAATACAATGGAAGGATAACAAAGATGTATGACACTACCCATAGCTTCAAGACATTCACCAATTTGCAGATACAATACTTCCAAATATCCACAAGTTGGTTTTAAAAATGCTTCATTTCTGAAATAGTTTTTATTTCAAATATCTAATTATATTAGTTTTTATTTATTTATGTATTTATTTATTTATTTATTTTTTTGAGACGGAGTTTCACTCACGTTACCCAGGCTGGAGTGCAATGGCACGATCTCGGCTCACCGCAACCTCCGCCTCCTGGGTTCAGGCAATTCTCCTGCCTCAGCCTCCCAAGTAGCTGGGATTACAGGCACGCGCCACCATGCCCAGCTAATTTTTTTTGTAGTTTTAGTAGAGACGGGGTTTCACCATGTTGACCAGGATGGTCTCGATCTCTTGACCTCGTGATCCGCCCGCCTCGGCCTCCCAAAGTGCTGGGATTACAGGCTTGAGCCACCGCGCCCGGCCTTATATTAGTTTTTAAACCTAGATTTGCATGTTTAATCATTTTGGTTTTATGTAAATTATAGCTTTAATTTTAGAAATTGAACATTTTTGCTAGGATGAACAAAAGAATAGAGAGAGGGCCTATAAAATAAGTCTGTTGATTCACAGCAGAACCCGGCATTTGCTGACTTATCCTCCACCAGGGGGTGCTGGTGACTCGGATATCATATTCAGACTGCAAGGTGCATGCCATACCTTCGACTCATAGTTTGCTTTTGTTAAGCACCAAGGATGTAGTCATGGATGCTGTGCATCTTTGTCTTCTGTAAAATGTGAAGTTTTTAAAAGATGTGCTTTTGAGCAAAACTTAAATAAAACAATTTTAAGCAATTTTATCGTGCATCTTAATGGATGTAGG